ACGGCATCTGCATGTCATCTGCCAGCCCATCGGCTGTGTGCGTGTGTGTGGCAGCCTGTGTGTTGCATCTGTTTCTCAGCAGGTGAAATAGCAAAGAAGTTCCCGCACCCAATTTTAGAAAACACTCTTCTGGGTGGGCTGGTAAGGGGAAATTGCTCCCTTAATGAAAACACGTTTGGAACATTGACTGAAAATTGCTTTCAGCTCGTACAGATGGTTTACAGATGCCTATTTGTTAATAAAAACCTCATTATAACATAAAAGCAACTATGCTGATAGGCCATCCCCTACATAAATAGTTGCATTCATTTATGATTACATCTTATTAGCTTTGGGATACACTGAGTTGTTTATTTTATCCAATTAATTGCATACATCGACGGAACGTAAAGCACAGAATACAAAGTGAATATTCTGCTTAGCACAGGGTTTTTTGTTTCCAAGCTTTTGTCTCCCCCTAGTGGTCATATGGCCCCATTACATTAAGATAGACCAATTTAAATACATAGATTAGGCTGGGGCATCTTTTTGAATATGACACAAATATTCCCAAGGGATATTCAATATTTTATACATATGTTTGTGTGAAATACATTTAATTACATTTTTGATTGATTATGTCAGATATAAAAACACAAATAAAGTCAAATTCATGGTGGTTGGTAGTATCATTTATGTGTTTTGTTCTCAGATAAGACAGGGTGACCAAATAGTCTTTTTGTTAAGGCACACATATTTTTCATGCACTTGTAATAATATATGTCATATATAGATTAATCTCATGACCATAATATGAAATATATTATTACTGTGTCATCACCTAATATTACACCACCACAGTCTACCCCAAGATTAAGTTATTAAGTTCATATGTCTAGTAACAGTGCATGGATTATAAAATAAGCAGCTCTGCTTAGCACTCAAGTCATGTACATTTAATGAAAATATTAGTACTCAAGAAGTTAACAACTCCCAAGGCTTTTTATCTAGGACAGAAGAGACCTATTTCAATAAGACTGCTACTGCTGCTGTGGTGAACACTCAGTACAGTCAACTGAGGAAACAAAAAATTTATATAACATTTTTTCATGTTTCCTTGACTCTCTGTAAACTTTGACCTATACTTGCACTACTATACAAGTCCAGACAAATACACCTGGCTGTACTATTTAGCACATACATTGAACCCCATATAAACAGCTCAATAACAATGGATAGGAGGCTTCAACAACAGTGCCTGACCCAGCCAGTGCATCTATCTAATGATGTTTAGTATTATGAAGAGTGTTTGACCATCTGACCCCCTGTCCATACATCTGTCAGTCTATTCCTCTGTGATGTGGGTGGCAGGTGGCCAGCTTATCTGTCAGAGTACCAGGCCTTCATGTTATTTCAAAGCCGCAATAAATTGAACAAAAGGATTTGCACGGATCTCTGTCAAAGAATAGATGTACTCTCATAGAAATCACATTTGTAGTTTGAACTTGTTGTAGTCATGTTTAGTACTGAAAACCTACTTTTCATGTGGAAATATATCAACAGGAACACGAAATATTTCCTATAGCTTTGGCTCTACTCCAGCACATTTGACTTGAGATGGAACCATAACTTTTGGCTTTAACTGTACTTGAAGATGTTTGAATCTACAATAAGTTGGATGTGGGACTCAAAGTTTCCTAGTGCACATAGTCTACAAGGTTCTGTTCAAATGTTTATGTTTTTTCCTGCTTTATATTTTAATAGTAGGAATTGTACAGTACGATCTGGTTAGAAAGTTAAAGGTAGTGCAGAGTTACATGGTGCTTTGTGTGTAAAAATAGTCAAAAAACACCAGTAGTACTCAAATAGTTTTAAGGAACCATTACTTAACTTGAGTTCTGCTATTTTATATTTCTCCTCCACTACATTTCAGAGGGGAATGTATCTTTATTACATGTATTAATTATTACCCTATTTTTGTGTATTGTGTTTTAATACTTTGTCGCCCTTATGTAACTTTTTTATTTTAAGACTAAGTGTTCTTTCTGGCTTATGACTCCTTAACTGACTCCAAAGGAGAGCTGCACAGGAGTTCCTATATGCCTAGATTGTCTGTTTATGCATAAATGGCTAATAAAAATCTTGAATCTTGAATTTGACAGCTGTAGTCACAACTTGGCAGATATCAAATATACAATTAACTCCCCATTAGTAGATAAAAGTAAAAGTACAAACATATTATACTCATAAAGTATACATAAAGTCCGTATAAAGTTCTCATTATGCAGAACGACATGCTTCACATTAATATACGTCATAATATTGAACTATATATATCGATGTATTATTGTGTACATCACATTTAATGTTGAAGCTGGTCGAGGTGGAGCTAATGTTAACTACCTTATATGCTTATACTTTGAAGTACTTTATATAATGTTGGGTGGCTTGTGAATCTCCCACCAAGGATCAATAAAGTCTGATGATTCCAGTGTATTTTGTTTAATTCATCTCAGTCTGAAAAGTAACTAAAGTTATTAAATAAATGTAGTTAGTAAAAAGGACAATGTTTTTCTATAAAATGTAATGAAGTCAAAGTATGAAGTAGCAGAAAATGAAAATACTCCAGTTAAGTACAGATACCTCAACACTGTATTTAAGTACGGTACTTGATTAAATGTACTTAGTTACTTTCTACCTCTGATGTGAGGAAGTAGAGATTTAGAAAAATCAATTTTGCCTGTATAGAAGACATTTAACATTTTGTGACTGAATAATTTATATTTATAATCTATTTATATTTCATCATCTTCAAAATTATTATCTTTATTGTAGTTTATGTTGTATGGGGTGTGTCGAGGTTAATTAAGTAAGTTTTCAGGACTTGAAAATGGTAAATGAATCAAATCAAGTAAAACTGTTAAAAAAGACACATATGTCAAACGCTATAAACAGTAATGTCCACACACACACACACACACACACACACACACACAGGACCTCTATTTACTCTCCTCACACCCCCAGTTCAATCAGACACAGATATGCATGTCTCAACTCCCCAAAGACACTGGACAGTTGGAGTGGCCTGCTGATTAATTTCAACCTCCCCCAGCTTTCCTCTGCCTCCTCCTGCTCCTGCCATCCTCCAGCCATTTCTACATCTTCTGTTCATCCCCTACTCTGCTAAGGGCAGCAGCTCCAGAGGTCTACCATATGGGCCTGTGTCTGAATGGCCGACCGCCTGCCTCCCTGCAGCTTGCGCGCATGTGTGTGTGTGTGTGTGTGTGTGTGTGTGTGTGTGTGTGTGTGTGTGAGAGAGAGTCAAGCCTGTGCTGACTGTTGGCCTGCCCCACCTGTTCCTCTCCACCAACAGACCAGACCTCTCCTCTACAGGCCATCCAGGACAGGCTGATGAATAGACACATGAATTGATAGGAAACTAAAACATCAATAGCTGAAGCAGGTGATGAGGACACATTTGCATATGTGACTGTATAGTTTGAAAAGATTGAAATCAGAAGTTGTAGTCAGATGAGTGATGATTATGGCCTTCATCGTGTTATTCATATGCACCTGCCAAGCCATTTACAAAATCACTGGATAAATCACTTGTCAAACTGAGCAGAAAAAGATCGAAAATGAGGCAGAAGCTGAACCACAGATAAATAAACCAGACAGAACAGATGAGACAACAATAGAGTAAAAATATGGAATAATTTATTCTCAAAATATGAATGACAGGCTGTGCAGAGAACAGACTGTGGTAGACAGACACACCATGCTGCTCCCTTAACACCCGAGGACATAGGATAATAATGAAGGAGAACTTGGGGGTGATAATGAGAGGTCAAATGGAAGAATAAGTCTCAGGCTTGTACACCTGTGGCCCACCTTCTGCCATCTAAACAACCCCATGACCATTTTTTTAAAACCCCACAATGTTCAGTTACTCTCATTATAACCTACTGAATAATGTAAAGGTATATATGCATGAGGGGACTAGCAGAGGAGACAAGACAAGGCTGAGGGACGGAAGGATCTACATAATAGGGCTATCTCTCTCTCCATCTGGTCATGTGTTTATAATCCCC